CCTGCCTGAAAGTACTCTTGGTGTCTTCACACCATGTTTTTCAGTGTGGCTTGACGGTCTGCTGAGGCTTACTCAGGTTCTGTCTTGCTTTGACAATAAACTCTATTGCATCAATCTCTGACTGACTCCAGTAGCTTCTTTTGAACTCCAAGTGCTGTCGACCCCACCAGTACTTGTTAAATGCAGAGGACAGATCAGGGCTTCCAGCAGGCCTGAATCTAGCTTTCTGCCCCTCTACAGTAGCCTATGAAGTCCGACAATATAATTACATTTTCCGAGGGGTCCTGTTAACTGTCTGAACAGTGAGTGTGGCAGCTCTACTCATTTATCCCAAGTGCTAACTAGTGAAACTGTGTTAAGCAGGGTGGAAGTTTAAACTGACCGTATAAAGTCTGTGTCATGTGGAGCTACAGGCCAGGAATTAAATATCAGTAATTTTACCTTTTCTTTCACGTATAGTACCTTCCGACATTTCAAGTTGCATCAATTACAGTGTAAAAACAAACCTATGGTCTCTGAGCAGTTGGTGGGTGTGGCTAAGATGCTAAATGCTAACAGATGCACTTTGGGGGTAGAGATGGTGACACCTACAAGTTCCTGAGGGTGCACCTCAACAACAAACTGGACTGGACAGACAACATGAGGCCCTCTACAGGAAAGGACAGAGCAGGCTGTTCTTCCTGAGGAGTCTCAGGTCATTCAATGTGTGCACCAGGCTGCTGCAGATGTTCTACCTGTCTGTAGGGGCCAGTGTCATCTTCCTCGCTGTGGTGTGCTGGGGAGGGGGCAGCGGGACTTGTGGCGCCAACAAACTGGGCAAGCTGGTGAGGAAGGCCAGCTCGGTGGTGTGGATGGAACTGGACAGTGTGGAGGCAGAGACTGAGCGGAGGATGAGAGGAAGCTGAAAACCATCTCGGACAACTCCTCTCATCCTCTCTCTGCTGAGCTGAGGCAGCTCAGGGGCTCCTTCAGCCACAGACTCATTCAGCCCCGAGCCTCACAGCACTCAGGAGGCTCATTTGTGCCGTCAGGCTCCACAACACCACAGCACCAAACTGAGAGACTGTTCCTGAGTATATTTCAGACATTTATCTGAGTGTAAATGATCTGACTGCAAATAATTATCACAGGGCAAATAATGTGTAAATATTTAAACATCTATATTGAATATTAATTACATAACGAACATATATTCTGAGTATACAGTTTATTTATATTTAAACATCTGTGTTGAATGTTGCTGATTCTACTGTATCCATTCTTTCACATTTCTCTGTGCTGCTCTGTCTTAATAAAGTTATATTTTGTCTTAGCATAGTCTGATTATACGTGAGGTGGTGCTTTCCATTGCTGTCATCACTGACTTACCTTACCCAGGGTATACACAGGAATCCTGCAGTAAAAATACCTTTAAAGACCTGTTTCAAGACCTTTCAACATATTTTAAGACTGCTGCGCAACTCTGATCTGTAACCAGTTAAGTCAGCGACGCACCTTTAAAAGGGGAATTGTGGAGTTTTGAAAAGGAATTTAAACAGATTTATAACATTGTTATGGTCTGTGTGTGAGCAGGTTGTAACGTCACCTAAAAATTGAGGCGTTTACCAACTTTCTCAGTTGCCTCTCACAGCCTGTATAGGACTACTGTTTCTATGTGAAGGACTGGTTGGATTCACTGTGAAAACCCATTGTCTGACACAGACTGTGTGCAACATTACTGCAAAGCTTGCCTGCAGTGAAAACTTTCATCGCCCACTTGATCAATACTACAGAATTCAAAAAGGCCAGAAGGGAACAAAGTTGAAGAGAATAAACTAAGTATTAAATAACATTGTATATGGTGATGGATATTCGTATCACATTATAACGTTTGTGTCCACCTTGTGTAGCCCTTAATATCATCAATCTTGTATTTTATATACTTTTGTTGTTAATCTCTCAGTATTGTTGAAAATGAATCACTGTTGTTGGATATTAGGCTTTCGATGGCATCAATATTTATATTAAATAATTATTAATCAACGTATTATTATTATTAAATAATGAAGGTGAGAGACTGTAGGTGGTAAAAAAACAACTAATAGATATCACCGTGAAACTTTCCTAGTTGATTACTTATATTAAGAAAATATTTTTTTGTATTACAGGTTTTCTGAAATGTTATGTTTAAATATGCAAATGAGACAGTTAATTATAAAGTGATCAACTAACATTTGATTATAGCCATGAAATGAAATGATTAACGAAATTAAGGAGATCATGATTTTTAATAGTATTGATACAAATGTGTGTGGAAGAGTAAAAGAAGTGAAGAATCATGTTGAGATATGTTGAATTTGTTGTGAAATACTGAAATGGGTGTAACAGTCTTCATCGGGAGAGAAGGGTCAGCAAGGGAAAATGAAACTGTCAAGTAAGGAGAGCTTTGGCCCAACTCACGTAAACAGGAAAAGGGTCGTGGCTGATTTGACAGGAAAACTCAGCTACGGAGTGGGATAAATAAAAAGGAGTCAGGAAGAGATTGGGGTTATTCCTCGGCAGACCTCAGAGACATTGGACTCGGAGCAGGACCAAGCGGACCAAGAGCCTAAGACAAGAGTTGGAGATTTGAACAGCAGACAACTAGAGACTTCTTCAGAGTTTTCTTCAGTGGACTTCAAGAGATTGAGCCACAGTGGACAACCACAACAACCAAACCAAGTTTCTACAAGATTCTACAGATCCACAGAAGAGGGAAAGATCTCCTTGGCCAAGACGACTACTTCTCTCCCTTTCTCTCCAAAAAGAAGACATCTAAATCACTCAAGCTCAGCTATTATAATCAGATTTAGAATTTTAAACATTTTATCATTTTACTTAGTATCAATCAGAGAGCTGTCGTTAACGGGTGTGGCTGGGGTGATATTTGGCTCTAGGGCCAATTCAGAGTAAGCAGGGTAGGCGTTCGGAAGAAGACAGTTAGAAGCTAGGCGAATCTCTTCGACAGCAGCTTAAACAGTCCTCAGTTATACCTAATAGGGTAATACCCACAGGCCTAGAGGATCGGGCCCTTTAAGACGGAGAGCTGGTCCAGCACCTCCTGAACAGGGGTAACTCGGGATCTAACATCATGCTGTGGGACACCATTCTTTGGGTTCCTGGGAGAGGACTCACTTCTCACTCACAATGACTCACTTGACAAAAGTTCAACCAAGATCACAAATAAACAACCTCACGCAGACGTCAGAAATCACGTGACACCTTCCCCGCTCCCTCGGCTGGGCGGGTCCACTGTAAAAAGAAAAGGAAGAAGCATTCAGTCTGGTCATCACCTTCATCATCTCTGCTTCTAAATATGTGACCTAACCTGACAACGATCGAGAGATTATCACTGTAGATCACTGTAGGCGGTCCGCTGTCAACAGAAACTACAGAGAAGAAAGAATAAGTCAGTCATGGTCGCTTTAACATGGCCGCCATTCGTGGCTTTGTTCGCATGTTCATGGATCGTTGTTCTGTGTCAAGGTAAGAGGAGTGTGTGTCCGTGTGGTAGGTCTGGGGTGATTCAAAGACGTCATTGATTACGGAAATACAACGATTCGCATAACGTGTGTCAACTCATCAGCTAGACCAGGGGTATTCAATTAGATTTCAAAGAGGTCTAGTTAGAGAAAATTTCCTGAAGCAAAGGTCCGGAACATCAAAACGACGAACTTGCGTTATCATTCAGTACTATAACCTATAGTTGTATCAACACGTTTTTAGTCAACAACGGACTGTCAAATCAAATAATATTTCAGTCAGTTTTCACATCAAACTGGAAGGATAATAAATAACTATTCAAATAATAAATTCTAAATTTAAGTAAACTAAATTAAAGTGCCTAATTTTTAGAAAAAATGTAACAAAAAGTGTAGCTTGAAGTGATGAAGTGTAGTCTTAACCAATTTTATAATAAACACTCAACACATCATAACAAATGAACAGCTGTAATGCCTCCTCTTCTCTTTCATTTCCTCTTACAGAGCTACCACTTTCCTACTTTCTGTTGTTCAGTGAGAAACGTGAGCTCCAGCTAGCATATTGGAGATCTATGAGATATTCTGGTTTTGAACTGCCCGTGGGAGGAATGTACATGTAAGAATCTGTACATTCTTGATTAAAAGTCATGTGAAATCTCTTTTATCTTTCGTCTCCTCAATTCGCGTGTGTTTCCAAAACATCTCTGGTGAATCTCGCGGACTCGACTCGCAAGCCTCGGTATGCACAGATTTGATTGGCTGAGCAGCGTCACATGAGACGATTGGAGCACATGCGATTGGTCTGTGAGTTTCCTGGTCCTCTAAACCAGTACAGTAAATGCTAGAAAAGCTGCGCGGGTTAAAATAGAAACGCTCCGTCACGAGGTAGTAAGTCTCAATAATAAATGTGCTGTAGGTCGGCGGTCCGGAGAGGACGGCGGCTGGGTCCGGATCCGGACCGCGGTCCGCCTATTAGTGACCTCTGAGCTAGACGATCTGTTCTCCAACCATCTAAAGTTCAGAAGTATTTTAGAGAGACACTGAACAAAATGGCGCTCTGTGAAGAGGAAATAGTTTCACTGCAGCACAACTGCTGTGCACGAACACGTGGAGTGAAAGAATCTCGGAGCACATGGTCAAGACGACAGCACCACAAATCTTCTTTACCTTTTAGTTTCCACACAAGCCTGCTACATTATCAGCACGAGCAGCATGTTTCTGTTTGTCACTTAAAACAGATTTAATGTATGTATTTGTTTATTGCCTCCATGTTAAAAGTAATTTCTGCCCCGCTGCTGTCATGGTGACGTAATGTTGCACCATGTGCGAGAAAACAGCTGAAAGCAACATTGCACATTACATTGTGAATCGTTTCAGTTGTTTATTTGTTCCACACTGATGCATATCTGTGATTATCTTACTGCATGTTACGCTAGTGATGAAATAAATCCATGTTAGGAACATATGAAGATTCACTATATGTAGTACTTAATGTCAGTTATTATTATTTTTAATATCATGACACAGCAACTGTGAAATTAGACTCACTGTTTAATGATCATTACAGGGAGGGAAATGTGTCAAACATCCTGTATTCACAATTAGCAATTATAATATAATAACAATATAATAACTGTTGTTGTAACTTATTCATTCAGTTTTATTTACAACATGTTCATTATATTATTGACTCAAATATATTTACTAGACTTTGACTCTGTAGGCTGCTGGATATGTTTGTAACCTCCTAAAGTTTATTATGAGCTGACTTGTGAACAGAGTCTCCACCTCTGACCTCTGTTCCTGTCCAGCACTGTAGTTTACTGTGTGGACGGATGGACAGCAGAGACCAACATGTGTCCTCTCCCCTCTCGTGGTGTCTGTCCATGCAGATCCAGCAGCTTCATTTGTCTCTCTGAGAAGTAAAGCAGTTTCATACTGTAGGGACTCTTTCCTCAGTAGAAGTAGTTCAGACACAGTCTGAGTAGAGGACGGACAGACTGGGGACACATTTGGAAAACAAGGACAAAGATTCAAAGCTTCTAGGAAATAATAAACTTCACATGTTTAATATTTCAGCTGTTTGTTCAGGCTCAGAAATGCTGATGTCTGTATTCAGATGGGAAATAATATCAATAATCAATAATCTCCAAACAAGCAGAAAGCAGATGAAAGTAAAATGTCTCCTGTCTGATGGTGCGGAGGACGACTTGACTGACAGCTGTAGAAATGAGCAACATGAAGTCAGCGTGCAGCTGCAGCAGAGGAGTTAGTCTCTCCTTTCTGCAGCTGGGACTCAAGTTGTCTGAGAACAGGGTTTGAAATGCTGCTGAGTTCACATGTGCTGTTTTATAGAGACCTGATCTCTGCTGCTTCCATCAAAAGATGTTTGAACAACAGGAAACATTACAAGTCCTGACTGGAGGCTTTTCTCTTTCTGCTCAGAGACACAGGAGGTGAAGGTGAAGCCTGGAGAGGACGCCACTCTTCCCTGTCGGGGTCACAGAGGTGCTACCATAGAAGTGATAAAGTGGAACAGACCTGACGTGAAGTCAGATGAATATGTCTTCTACTTCAAAGACGGCCGCTCACATGAAAACTACCAGCATGAATCTTATCGTGGTCGAGTGGAGCTGAAGATCCAGAGATGAAAAACGGAAACGCTTCTGTGATTCTGAAGAACGTCACCATCAATGACACTGGAACATATCAGTGTCGGGTTAGAGAGGAAAACGAGACAGGCCAAGTTAAACTGATCAGCACTGTCATGCTGAATGTGAAAGATTCAGGTGAGTCTCTTTGTCTCTCAGATGAGCGTGTAGAGCTCAGAGTGTCTCTTTGTCTCTCAGGTGAGCGTGTAGAGCTCAGAGTGTCTCTTTGTCTCTCAGGTGAGCGCGTAGAGCTCAGAGTGTCTCTTTGTCTCTCATGTGAGAGTGTAGAGCTCAGAGTGTCTCTTTGTCTCTCAGGTCAGCGTGTAGAGCTCAGAGTGTCTCTTTGTCTCTCAGGTGAGCGCGTAGAGCTCAGAGTGTCTCTTTGTCTCTCAGGTGAGCGCGTAGAGCTCAGAGTGTCTCTTTGTCTCTCAGGTGAGCGTGTAGAGCTCAGAGTGTCTCTTTGTCTCTCAGGTGAGCGTGTAGAGCTCAGAGTGTCTCTTTGTCTCTCAGGTGAGCGTGTAGAGCTCAGAGTGTCTCTTTGTCTCTCAGGTGAGTGTGTAGAGCTCAGAGTGTCTCTTTGTCTCTCAGGTGAGCGTGTAGAGCTCAGAGTGTCTCTTTGTCTCTCAGGTGAGCGTGTAGAGCTCAGAGTGTCTCTTTGTCTCTCAGGTGAGCGTGTAGAGCTCAGAGTGTCTCTTTGTCTCTCAGGTGAGCGTGTAGAGCTCAGAGTGTCTCTTTGTCTCTCAGGTGAGCGTGTAGAGCTCAGAGTGTCTCTTTGTCTTTCAGGTGAGTGTGTAGAGCTAAGAGTGTCTCTTTGTCTCTTAGGTGAGCGTGTAGAGCTCAGAGTGTCTCTTTGTCTCTCAGGTGAGCGCATAGAGCTCAGAGTGTCTTTTTGTCTCTCAGGTGAGCGTGTAGAGCTCAGAGTGTCTCTTTGTCTCTCAGGCGAGCGTGTAGAGCTCAGAGTGTCTGTTTGTCTCTCTGGTGAGCGCGTAGAGCTCAGAGTGTCTCTTTGTCTCTCAGGTGGGCGTGTAGAGCTCAGAGTGTCTCTTTGTCTCTCAGGTGAGCGCTTAGAGCTCAGAGCGTCTCTTTGTCTCAGAGTGTCTCTTTGTCTCTCAGGTGAGCGCGTAGAGCTCAGAGTGTCTCTTTGTCTCTCAGGTGAGCGCGTAGAGCTCAGAGTGTCTCTTTGTCTCAGAGTGTCTCTTTGTCTCTCAGGTGAGCGCGTAGAGCTCAGAGTGTCTCTTTGTCTGTCAGGTGAGCGTGTAGAGCTCAGAGTGTCTCTTTGTCTCTCAGGTAAACGTGTAGAGCTCAGAGTGTCTCTTTGTCTCTCAGGTAAACGTGTAGAGCTCAGAGTGTCTCTTTGTCTCAGAGTGTCTCCTTTTTTCTCTCAGGTGAGCGTGTAGAGCTCAGAGTGTCTCTTTGTCTATCAGGTGAGCGTGTAGAGCTCAGAGTGTCTCTTTGTCTCTCAGGTGAGCGTGTAGAGCTCAGAGTGTCTCTTTGTCTCTCATGTGAGAGCGTAGAGCTCAGAGTGTCTCGTTGTCTCTCAGGTGAGCGCGTAGAGCTCAGAGTGTCTCTTTGTCTCTCAGGTCAGCGCGTAGAGCTCAGAGTGTCTCTTTGTCTCTCAGGTGAGCGTGTAGAGCTCAGAGTGTCTCTTTGTCTCTCAGGTGAGCGCGTAGAGCTCAGAGTGTCTCTTTGTCTCTCAGGTCAGCGCGTAGAGCTCAGAGTGTCTCGTTGTCTCTCAGGTGAGCGCGTAGAGCTCAGAGTGTCTCGTTGTCTCTCAGGTGAGCGCGTAGAGCTCAGAGTGTCTCTTTGTCTCTCAGGTGAGCGCGTAGAGCTCAGAGAGTCTCTTTGTCTCTCAGGTGAGCGCGTAGAGCTCAGAGTGTCTCTTTGTCTCTCAGGTCAGCGTGTAGAGCTCAGAGTGTCTCTTTGTCTCTCAGGTGAAGCTGCTTCCTGGTAGTTGAGCTGAGAAACATCACAGATCAGATGTTTGTGTTTTAGAAAGATGTTGCTGATGAGACTTTAGAGGAAACAGCTGCTACGAGTCATGTGATCAAAGTGCAGTAGATAATGTCTGACATTCTGTTCACCTGCTGACAGCTGATACCTCACACCTGTTTCTGCTCTGCAGGTCACACAGCTGGACACAAGGAGGGAGGAGACGAGGAGGGAGGAGACAAGGAGGAAGGAGACGGGGAGGGAAATGTTGGACTGAGTGTCGGTCTGCCAGTTTGTGTGATTCTTCTTCTTCTTGGTGTTGGTGGTTTTGTGATCTTATATAACAGACGCATAGAGAATCAACAACCTGCTATAAACAGACATGAACTGCAGAACCTGCAGAGAGATTAAGAGACCAGAGGCA